GTACTCTGCCAGCAGACTGTCCCTCCTGATACCCTTGCCATTACTCAGCATGCTCCGCTCCTTGCAGCTTTTTCCCCATTTCTCAGAGATGCCAAGCTCCCTTCTTGGCACTGCGGTTGTCATTCTTACTGTCTTGGTACGTGCTTCCCTGATCCTTGGCGTGGCTTTTTCCTGCTCATGTGACAAGTGTCAGCTTAAATGTCATCTCTACAAAGACAGCATCCCCGACCTCCACCCCACTAATATTTTTTTTAAGGACTCTATTTCTTTCTTCCATAGCTATTATCAGAACTTATGATAATTTTTCTAAAAATTATTATGTTTCTCTCTCTCTCTAGAAGGGAAAGGTAATGCTTATCTTGATCACTGTTTTATTTATGGTATATACATGATTTAAAATTTATGTGTGTGTGTCTATATATAGCATGTACATGTATATATACACATGTATGTATATATTACATTTATGTGTATGTAATGTCTATGTGTCTATTGTGTATACCTGCATGTATATAGATGAATGTGCACATGTGCATACACATGTATATTTTGTGCATACATGTGTAATGTGTGTGTGCATGTATATGCATGCACATGTGTAGCAGTACCTGGTAATTGGCAAATAAGTGATCACTTAGGGTTAGGGTTCTGCAGGACTTTCTTGGACATATTTAAGAAAGCATGCTTGCCCTGAACACTTGGGGTCTCAACAAGACAGATAGGCTCTTGGAGGTAGATCTGCCGGACATAATTCTATGATTACGGCCAACACATTCAGTTCTTCTGGAGTTGTAAGACGTCAGCAAAAGAGACGGACAGAGGTTTGAGAGTTTTTTGTGAAGATTGGGGGTTGGGAAGACTGTGTCAAGTGTTGAATTCAGATGCTGTTGAGGAGCCTAGCCCTACTGGAATGTCGGAGCTAAGTCTTGGTTAAGGGCCTTGTGATGGTTAATTGTCAACCTTCAGATGTGTCAACTTTACTGGGCTGCAGGGAGCCCAGACATTCGGTCAAATGTTATACAGGATGTGTCTGTGAAGGCATTTCTGTAAGATTACATTTAACTCAGTATACTAGATAAAGCACATTGCCCTCCCTAATGTGAGTGGGTCTCATACAAACAGTTGAAGGCCTAAACAGACTGAAAGGGTTGACCCTCCTACAAGTAAGCAAGCATATGTCCAGTTTGATTACCTTCAAGCTGAGACAGTGTGAGCTTTTCCTGCCTTCATAACTGAACTGAAACATCTGCTCTTCTTAGAGCAGAAGGCAAATGAACTAGAACATACAGCAGTGGAGTTCCTCGGTCCCCAGCTTGCCAACTCACCCTGCAGACCTTGGGACCTGTCAACCTTGAGAATGACACATGCCAGTTCCATAAGTCTCTTTATGTATGAGTGTGTGTGTGTGTGTATGCACATTATATGTATACACATCCTACTGGTTCTGTTTGTCTGGAAAACCCTGACACATACAGACATAGTCTGCTGTGCTGCACAGAAAGGGACATGCTGTATAAAATCATGTCTTGATTGTCAGATGGCATCTCCTCTACTTGTATCCTCTATAGTACCTAACACTGAACCTTTGTACGTAATAGGACTGTTCAATGGGAAGATTACTTAATAGTCATGTGTTCTGTTATATATTTTTTAAATAAAAGAAAAGTGTGAAAATCTATTGTTAAAAAGCATCATTATAAAATTAAGGCTAAATTTGTCAGAACAATTTTGCTCACCAAACAGGTGCTCATGAATATATGGTGACATCTACTAGATAATAATTTGGTAACATTCAAGGATTTGTCTCCAAATACATATAAAGAAGAGGGGTGTAAGGCAGGCCCTTTTCAATTGTTAATAAAACAACAGCTACTTATTGTTTTAATTTAATACAGAATCATCACCAACATAATGAATTATATAAAGTTTGCCCTATTTTTAAAATAAAATATAATTTTGTAGCACACAGTAAATTTTAATTTATAATACTTTGAGCTATGTGCCTTTTAAAAATGCTAACTCCTAGTATTTAATAATTATTATGTTTTAAAGATTGAATTATGCTTGAAAATTTTTATCCAAAAATAATATACTTAAAATATATCTAAAGGTGAGATCTTAACCTACTACCAACCATTTCGTTAACTAGAAACCTTAACTCTTTCCTGCACACACAGACCAAAACTACTTTGTGGTGAGAGCAACGGCTAGATTTCACTGTTTTGATTCACCTTACTTCATATGGGCTTCACTGACTTGAAGAACTGACTATTTTGTAAACTGTTGAAAACTTCATCTAAATCTTTAACAGATAGGCTCCTTGTTATAAAACAAAGTAGTTCTATAACAAGAAAAGAACATTCAAAAAACTAGTGTTTAAATATAAGAAAGCTTTCTTATATTAAATTAAATATCAGCTATCAAAAGTCCCAGAACCTGTCCCAACATTACTCATTGAGGTTCTGGATTTCACTCCCATGCTAACAAGAGTGCACAAGTTCCACCAAGCCTCCCTACTTCCCAGCTTCCCAGCAGAGGATAAATAGTGTAAAAGCATGCCTAAATCTCTAAAGTAACTTATACTTCATTAATAATTATTGCAATAATATCTTAAACTTATAAACATAAATAGGTAGAATATCATAGGTATATGCAACTCAGTACAACTCATTAAAATCATTTCCTCAGTCCAATATTATTGTTGTTCATGAGTTCTGAAGTAGGACCACCAAATATTTCATTTATATTTTTATCATAAGTAGGTATAACCTGTAAGAAAGGAAAATAAATTCCCTTTCTCAGATAAAAAGTTCTTAGGAATTTTACAACTCTAACGACTTAAGGTAGGGCAACCACTGTCCACATGTGGCAGGCTACTGGTAGGAACTGATGCAAAAGAAAATAACACTTAGTTAGAAACAAATAATATGGTACTAAATGACGAATTCTTTGGTGAGCTAATCCATTTTAACATCATTCAATTCTATGCTAGTAGCACATCAGCCCAGTGTTTTTAATGTTACTAAAGTTTGTTCACTAAATACCTATTATATGCCAAGCCACGGAAATTTCAAACACTGGAATAAATTTTATTCCAAATAATAAAAGCAAATTCTTATTTATCTTATTTATCTGCCAGATGGTATTATAAACACTTCACTGAATTCTGAAGCCAGCCCTATGGAAGCAGGCACAGAGAAATAACATGACTAAGGTCACAGCTAGTGAGTGACCCACGCAGGATGTTTCAGTGAGAAAACCTACGAATGCCATCTGTCCACAGGCAGCATCTAGTCTTTCCCATTCACATAAGCAATATGGTTTAGAGATGGAACAGACACAGAGAGGAAGCTGGTGCCCATGGTCCTCTGTTCTACATAGTACAGGGGGCAAGACACCCTACACCCATCCTCAGCACAGCAAGCACACAAATCTCACCCAGCTGAGATTCACAGACACAAACCAACGTATGACATGTACAAAAGCAGAGCCCCAGACATGCTTTCTTCAGGACAAAACTGAAATTAAAGCATTTCTCTCATAAGCCAGCAATAAGCAACTCTACATTTATAAAAACCAGCCAAACCTGTTATTTGTTTTATGGAAGGAAAACTTCTTCTGCATAGTTAACTTTTCAATAGAGTTTTGGCATAACTGAGAGATACAAAAAGAAAAGAAAGTTGTTTACTGTTTTAATATTAGAATGTTCACTTGTGATCAATACACTACTGAAATTAAAGAAAGAAAAAAAACTGCATCAGTGAGCCATGCTTAAGAGACTGGTTTTTCTGCACTGAGGAGTTTGCTCTCGTCACTACTGTTTTTCTGTTTTCATAAACTAAAAAACATTTTATGGATTAGATAACCAACCATTTATATGCACAAAGGTCTAGGGAACTGATAGGTTTAAAAGAGATAGTGGGCACATAGAATTTAAGTAAAACAAAGGAAAACAAAATCTCCAGAGTATAACCCTATTCCTTTAATATTAGAATGAATTTATGTCCATGGTCAAATAAGATATGAAGGAACCCTGACTGAGGAAGAGGGTTTTAAACCACAAAGGCTGTGTCTTTGTGCAAAAAATTAAAAATGATTTCAGCCTTTGTCCACATCCATTTTCTGTGTTGTCAAATCCAAAAGAAGCAGGAAGTTAGTCTTTATCCCCAGGAAGATCCTTTCCTCTCCCAGCTCTCCCAGGGTTTTAAAGAGCTCTCCCCTGGAGGCCAAGAACAGAGCTGTCTTCTCAGTCTGAGAAGCGGGGTACCCTTAGCAGCTTAAGGCAAGGGACACTATAATCTACATTCCAGGAACTGGAGTTCTTTAATGGCACTTAACATGAGATTATAAAGTGATGAGTCTGGTTTCCATGTGCTACACACAGGTCAGTCATTGCTTCATGTTAATGCTTTCTGTACCACCAATTATATCTTGATTAGACACTAAGTAAATGTGTGACTCATGAAGATGCAAATACTTATAAAAACTTCTATAGGCTGATAACAATGGGGCTGCATTACATGCTCTTTAATTCTTTCCAAATAGAAAATTTTATAATTATATTAATTATTCTGGACCTATGTGAAACCTGCAAATGTTATCCTTTTTTCATCATTTGTTCACAGTCTCAGACACATAATTGCGCCCATAATTTTGCATGACTGGCATTATTCTCGATTCTGAATCCTAGAAAATAGTTAAAGTTTTCTTTTTTCTTTGATTATCTCATTTAATCCTTACAGTCACCTGTTGAGATAGATACGCTTACCATTCTCTTTTTAGAAATGATGAAAAATTGAGTCCCAGAACAATCAAGCAACTTGTTCAAGGTCATATGGCTACTAAGTGTCAGGGCTGTATAATGCTTTTAAGTAATCCTAAAATATACGACAATATACATGTTGAGCTTCTGTGTTTTAAAAACTCACTTCAGAATCTAACATGTTTAAATCTAGAAAATCACAACTTAGCTCCACCTATAGTAAAATTTGTATACATACCTCACTGAAAAGGCTTCCATTAACATATGAAATCCACAGTTTCCAGAAGTTAGGCAGCTGGCTTAAGACAAGCTTGGTCAATTTTTCAACAAATGCCACCCTGTGGGGAGTTTTGTATCTCCATGCTAAAGAGGGAAAAAATACTATAAATATACTTTTAAATAGAGAATAAAAACCTATTTGAACATATTGCTATCACTCCACCTAAAAATCAAACATAGAGTAGAAGTAGTCTAATTTGCTGTGGACACTTTGGCTACAGAGATTTAAGGTACTGATATCAAAGCATTTCCTCCTTCCCATCAGATTATGATGCCCAGCAGCTACTGGAGCACAGTGGCACCCATAACCAGAGGGCCCTGCTTTTCTTTTTCCCCCCTCAGGTAAGAATGAGCACCTTCTAAAGCATCCCCACTGACTAGCGGTCCAGGGCAATGGGCCAGGTGGCCATAGCCTCGGAAGCGGGGAGGGCTTCCAACAGGAGGATTATTTGGCTTTTCAACAATGTCTGAGGAATGATATATGTCTCTTCAAAAAGTCATGCCTTCAAACAGCAGACTAAAAACAAAGGCAGGGGGTGCTCTACAGGTAATAGTGAAATTCTAGGATAATAACAATGGGCTGGGAAATGCCACTATACAACATAGTTGGTGAAAAATTCAGTAAGGAATCCAGCTGTCATAAAGGAAATATTCAAGTGCAATCACATAAGTAATAACTCCTCCTATAATACAGAAATTTAAGAAAAATTCAAATAATGGAAACTTTTTGGTTACACATCATTTAATACAGCTATTGCAGTAAGTGGGAAATAAGGACTTGGATTTCTTATGGGAAGAATAAGTTCATGGGAATAGAAACAAGGGTGGAAATTCAGGGTCCACTGACCATCTCCTAACTCTCCCGCTCCTTTATCCTATGTGCCATGGCCCAGCAGACTCCCTCCTGCCCTGCCTCCTGGTCCCCACTTACTGGGGAGCTACAGCCAGGTCAAAGTCTAACTACTACTCAGCAACTTCAAAGACAGGTGGCCTCAGAGGACGTTTTCATTATTTCCCTCCCCAGCCATGAGCTTCCTTTAAAAATACTCCTGGGGCCAGGCTCTGTGACTCAGTCTGTAATCCCAACAGTTTGGGAGGCCGAGGTGAGTGGATTGCCTGAGCTCACAGGTTCGAGACCAGTTCAGGCAACTTGGCAAGACCTCGTCTCTACAATGAGATAAAATAAAAAGTAGCCAGGCGTGGTAGCACGCACCTATAGTTCTAGCTACTTGGAAGGCTGAGGCAGAAGGATCACAGGAGCCAAGCAGGTCAACACTGATGTAGCCATGAGTGTGCCACTGCACGCCAGCCTGGGCGCCAGAATGAGACTCCAACTCAAAAACACAAAAACAAAAAAATTCTCCTAGGCAAAAGGTTTTGTTGTTGTTGTTCCAGTGAGGGAGAGATAAATTAATTTTTAAATGTTTAATAATTTCCTAGCCGGGCTCGGTGGCTCAGCCTGCAATCCCGCGTCCTGGGAGGCTGAGGTGAGGAGACTGCCTGAGACCGCGGGTTCGAGACCCGCCTGGGCAACTTGATGAGACCTCATCTCGACAATAAATCAAAAATTAGCCGGGCATGGTAGTGGGTGCCTGTAGTTCCGGCAACTTGGAAGGCTGAGGCGGAAGGATCACCGAAGCCTAGCAGGTTGAGGCTGAGGGAGCCGGGAGCATGCCACTGCACTCCAGTCTGGGCGACAGAGTGAGACTCCAACTCAAAAAAAAAAAAAAAAAGAAAGATTTCTGACTAGATAATACATGGTCAGAAAATAACAAGGTATACAGTGAACATCTACCACCTGCCACCCACATGTGCACAGTTCCCAGCCCCAGGACTGTTTACTAACTTCTTGTTATTCTTTCTGAAATGTTTTTTATATAAACAAGCAAATATAAACGTGCTTTCTTCCCCATCCCAAATGTTCTTTGTTCTTACACACTGAAAGCGCAGAGCTCATGCCCTGAGCTGTCTGACTCCGCTGCAGTTGATCCAGAGTCCCCCATATTCACACAAGCAATGCTCCCTCTCTTTCTCCCTACAGTCACACAGTCTTGCACATTTTTGGCCGTATCCTCATTTAACAAGTTATCTTCTAATGGACAAGACTGTTTCCAGTCATTTGCAGGTAAAATTAATGTTTCAACCAGTAACTGTACACCTACATCGTTTAGCACACGTTTAAGTGTTGAATACATTCCCAGGATGAGAATTGCTGGGTCAAAGAGCACATATTGCTGGAATTTTGATAGGTATTACTGAATTGCCCTCTCAAGGGGTTATTTACACTGCCACTTGCAACACACAAAAGTAGCAGCTTTGTTATAACCTTACCAGTGAACCAAACACACAAAACCCAAACAGAACAATCACCACTTGAGGGTTTTGCCAAATGGGTTTCTTACTGTAGTGTTATTGTGCCTTTTTCACGACTATCATGAGTGAGATTGACATGCTATTCACATGCTTATGAAACACTGAGACTTCCTTTCTGCAGCCCACAGGGCATCTTCATTAATTAAGCATATTAGCCCTTTGTCTATGCTATGAGTTGTGGGGAAAAGTTTTACATGCATTTCCACATGTGTGAAAGGCACGGTTCTTTAAGGGCACATTATAAACTTTATTTGTTCATTCAGCCAATATTTATAGCATATCAACTGTGTGCTTATCATGTGGCTATCCCTGTATCTAAATTGTTCACACTAATGCTGAACAAGGTAGGTTTCTGCCTTCACAGAGCTTATAATCTAACAGAATAGCCAATTAGCCAATGAAATGTATCAAAATGATAATATGAGACAAGAAGTCTTCATTTGGAAACAGAACTTTTAAAGACTTTTTCCTAATAGTAGTTGATGATTGTTTTACAAATGGCAGGCAGCATGCCAGAGCATAAGCCAAGCCATGTACGTCCTGGGTTCAATGACAAGGTAAAAAATGGGACAAGAAAATCTAAAAATGGAAGCACTGAAAAATTTGCTTTATATGGTAGCAAATGAATTCTTACATGATATGTTCCCTGAAAATAATGTTTCAAAAACGATCTCAGCTCCTCTGTGTAACTCTACTGAAAATTATTTTGTTATTACTATGACTGTGAGAAACTCATCTGCATCCTTACCTCACAGTTCATTCGCAGAGCTTGTTTGCTGGGAAATTAAAGTGAATATCTTGGTGTCAAACCTGAACACGTACTTTGTGTGGTCTGCTCTGGCTTATTATAGAGCCACATACAGTCATGTGCTGATTGAGGAAAGGGATATGTTCTGAGAAATGTGTCCTCAGGCAATTTTGTCATTGTGCGAACATCACAGAGTGACTTACACAAACCTGGATAACATAGCCTACTGTACACCTGGGCTGTATGGTGTAGCCAACTGCTCCTAGGCTACAAGCCTGCACAGCGTGTGGTTGTACTGAATACTGTAAGCAATTCTAACACAATGTTAAGTATCTCTGCATATCTAAATATGGAAAAGATACAGTAAAAATCTGATATAAAAGATTAAAAAAAGGTACACCTATAGGGTACTTACCATGAATGGAGCTTGCAGGACAAGAGGTTGTTCTGGGTGAGTCAGTGAGTAAGTGGTGAGTGAATGTGAAGGCCTAGACATTACTGTGCACTATCGTAGACATTATAAATACTGTACACTTAGACAATACTAAATTTATTTTTAAAATAAACTGTGTTAAGACATTAAGATGGTTACTATGTCACTAGATGATAGGAATTTTTCAGCTCCATTATAATTTTATGGGACCACTGTTGTATATGAGGGTTCATCATTGATGGAACTGTCTTTATGCAACCCATGACTATATCTGCATATACAAACAGACCCTAACTTGTGATGGTTTATAATTCTCACTTTAAGATGGTATGAAAATGACACATATTCTGCAGATTATAACCATTCTGTTTTACACTTTCAGTATAGTAGTCAGTATATTACTTCATATGCTCAACACTTTATTACAAAATAAGCTTTAGATAATTTTGCCCAAAAAGTAGGCTAATGTAGGTGTTCTGAGCACATTAAAGGTAGTCTAGGCTAAGCGAAGATGTTTGGTAGGTTAAGTATATTAAATGCACTTTCAACTTACGATATTTTCAACTTCAGATAGGTTTACTCGGACATAACCCCATCATAAGGAAAGGAGCTTCTTCTGTATATATACACTCTACATATATGTATGCATATACATATGCATATACACTCTACAGATAGATACCACTGGGTCTCATGGAGCAGATCATGGAGGTTACTCTACACTCCCAAAGAAAACACAGGAAGGGCACATTGCCTTTTCACTGATCTAAAAGATAAATTATTTTTTAAAACCCACAAATAAACAAACAGAAAGTAAACTCAGTTTCTCTCCTATTAAATCCACTGATTGGCAAGTATTCTAATTGAAATGTTTCTTGATAGAAAAAGTATTAATATAAAGTATTATATAAATATAATCATAACAAACCAATTTCCCAAATATTCCTTCAGCTAAATAATTTTATGGCAGATTAATCAGTAAAGTTGTTTTGTCTGAGTTCATCATAGTATGGAGTGTTAATATAGTCACTAGACAGTGCTGTCAGATAACTCTACTAAACTGGAAGTTCTACAACTATTTAATGTGCTGGTGCTCAATCACCAAGTCTCTTGGAAAACTGCCAGGCTTTTGCAGCCTCCTGCCCAGTGACAGAGAACAATTTAAGCATCATGTTGTATTTGATCTTTTCATTACTTGCAAATTCTTTAAACATGTGAATGTATTATGTAATGAGAGTCCCTTCCCCCTATTTCTTCTAAGTCTATTTCATCCAAATTCTGTTCATTATAATTTAAAAATGAATTTGAATTTTCTTTTCCTACTGAATCCAATATGTCCTAGTTAAAGCACTAGATGCTGTATCACTGAATAACATAGAGTAATTTCCTAAGAATGACGAAAGGAACCAAGAGGATATTGCAGGAATTTCCAACTTTTTCCAACAGAAATCACAAAGTATGTAGGCTCATTAATTTTGCTTTGATTGTAATGTTGAAAATGAGCTTCTTCAACTTTATTCATACCTATAGTTTACTGTAGGCAATCCTTCACAGTGTTCCAATTCCAAGCAATTATTTGGGGGAAATTAAACTTGATTTATTCGACATCCACTTCTAGTCACACTAGAGAAATATGGATTGGATTTAACCTCTAGCCAAAAAAATTCTATAATAGAATTTCTATTTTAGACACTGGACAGCAGGCTGCACACGCCTGTGATGCCTGGAGGCAAGAGACACGCGGCGAGCTTCACAGTGGCCTAAGCTTTCAGCCTAGACAGTTCTAGACAACAAAGGCAAAGGGTGAGGAATCAAAACAAAGCTCTGTGGCCTTTCCCTGTTGGAAAGGTGGAGAAGGCTGCGAAGACTGGAAACTGCAGGGTTGAGTTCAGAAAAGGAGGAAGCTATGTAGGAAAAAGTTCCAGAAATCTGAGTAGAGGTCTCCTTCACAGTCTTTGTGGAAGATGAGTCCATGAGTATGTGGAGAAAAAGTCATAAACCAGGCAAAAAACTATAAGCTCAATCACTCCCAGAAGTTTCTCAGGGCAGAGAAACTTTCTAGCTCTACACAGCCAGGGATGACAGTCCTTGTCCATGACCTGGGCCCATTGAGCTCAGAGGGCTATGACTGGGTAATCAAGTGCAATAGCACTAGAATGAAGGCTACAAGAGGTCTGCTCTAGCACAGCTTAAAAGCAGGCCCGGAAAGGATCAAGCTGATCTGCAAGTCACTGAACTGCCTGCTCAAGCAAAGCACAATGCTCCTTAAATGAAAATAGCAAAGCCATACAGAACACTCACAGTGTCTGGGAAACAATAAAAAATGAGTAGATGTGCCTGAAGCAGGAAAATGAGAACCACAACCAGAAAACAGAAGAAAAATTAGTCAATGGCAATAGATCCAAAGATAGCAGAGACAACGTGATTGCCAGACAAGAACTTAACAGCTATTATAATTATGCCCAAATACTTAAAGAAACAAACAAAATTTCTAGAGATTAAAAATGCAATGCCTGAAATTTTAGGTTAGACATTGGAGTAAAGAGATCATAAAAGGTGGAAGCACAGTAGGTGACGGTATAATGAAGCATCAAGGGGAAAAGTAGGGGGAAAATAACAAGCCTCAGCATCTATGGAATCTCCTGGTGTCACATACATGCAATCAAAGTCCCAGAGAAGGATGCCAAGCAGAAAAAGATGTGAGAAAATCATGGCTGAAAAATTTCCAAATCTAATGACTATTTCCAAAATTTGATACAATAGTTTCAAATCCCAAGTCTATTTTACCAAGCGGCCTGGCAAACTCAGGCGGAATAAATCGGAACTATTCAAGATGATGCAATTTATTTATTGTCAACTTCAAGTGCAGTTTCTAACTGGGCTAATGTTAATTTGATAAGTGGTGGCAGTAAATTACATGAAGATAGGCAAAGAGTGGGATGGAGGTTATTAGATCTGATATGTTGTCCTACTAATTAAGAAAAGGAACATCTCTTTTCCACGCTCTGTAAGTTAAAATAAAAAATTGGAAAAAAAAAACTTCAAGTAGGCTGTACTACAGAGTCAGGCTCTGACTGTATCTGTTTAGTGGGCTCCATGTCAGACCCTGTAGCACAGATGTAAAGGTACACAATTCTGGCCTGTCATTGTTGATACTAATGCGAGGTGGGCTGGGTAGGGAATGGGAACACGACAAGAGAGAATGCAACAGTTATAGAAGCACTGCATCTAGTACAAATGAACAATCTAATTCTAAGGTGCTCTTATGATAGGCTCCATATTTATTAAGAAGACCTTACAAAAATTCCCTACTCCAATATTTGTAAGAATATTATAAAAACACTTTAAAATAACTTTAGAGGCTTTTAAATTACATAGAAGGTATTTCTATTACTCTATTTGAATTTCTGACACCTGTTACTGAGACTATAAATGATTAGTGAATGATTATATCTAGTTTGGTACACAAGCGCATTATATCCAATATATTTTGTATCACATACAGGTAAATAGACAATAGGTAAACAGCCAACTCAGAAAGTTAAGAAATGCAACAGTTACAACTTTAAATTCTTTATCTTTGAAAAAATTATTAGTAATCAATTTATGGTGAATTAACAATCTTTCCAAACTAAAGTTTAGATTTCATCAAAAAAGGCATATTGACTACAGAAATTACATTTGTGAAACTTTAATCTTGACTTTCTCATAGAAATTTTTCTGTGGCGTTAAAAAAAATTCACAGAAAAAACATACTAGACTTTAATTAAATATCTTGAATAAACCATACCATGACTTACTTAAAAAACAAATGGCATTTCTTTAATGTAAAATGTAATATATATTTTCAGTATTTAAGTTTAATTACTGGATAGTTATTTTAATAAGCAAAAAAGATGACAGTTGGTAATAGCATCAGTAAAACAATTTTGAAATTTTCCAAGAGAAGAATTTTTGGAAGTATACAAGTACAAATTTAAAAAGACCTAGTGGGAGTGGGGAAATACCTACTGTCATCTCGACCAGACTGAAAGCTGCTGCCCCTCTTCAGGGATGCTGTCTGGCTAAGCTGGCCCAACGGTGAGGGACGCATATCGTTCTCGAGATCCAACATGGGACTGTGCAGGCCTGGGGCACCTGGGAAAGAAAGAACATATTTCTATATGCTCTGCATATTCTTACTTAGTGAGGCAACAGACAGCTTCTTGGAGGCTACTACTTGCATAATTGTTCCATATCTAATAAAGCATTTATTAAGCAATATCAAAAATATTTTCTCAGCCGGGCTCGGTGGCTCAGCCTGTAATCCCGCGCCTTTGGGAGGCTGAGGTGAGTGGATTGCCTGAGCCCGCGGGTTCGAGACCCGCCTGGGCAGCGAGACCTCATCTCTACAATAAATCAAAAAATCAGCCGGGCGTGGTAGCGTGCGCCTGTAATTCCGGCTACTTGGAAGGCTGAGGCGGAAGGATCGCCAGAGCCCAGCAGGCGAGGCTGCAGTGGCCGGGAGCGGCCACTTCACTCCAGTCTGGGTGACAGAGTGAGACTCCAACTCAAAAAAAAAAAAAAAAAAAATATTTTCTCTTGGCCAGGCATGGTGGTTCATACCTGTAATGGCAGCATTTTAGAAGGCTAAGGCAGGAGAACTACTTGAGACTAGGAGTTCTACACCAGCCTAGACAACACAGCAAGACCTCAGCTTTACAAATAAATCAAAAAATTAGTGAGGTGTGGTAGCATGTGCCTGTAGTTCCCAGTTACTCAGGAGGCTGAGGCAGAAGGATCACCTGAGCCCAGGAGGGTAAGGCTGCAGTAGCTGGGAGCATGCCTGGGTGGCAGAGACTCCGACTCAAAATTTTTTTCTGTAAATAGATTAATAAATTTTAAAAATAACTCCAAGTTCAGCAAAACTTGGGGTAGGGAAGGAATGCTATAAACATAAAAATTAGGGAAAAAATCACATTTTGCAAAACAACTTTTAGCACTCGGAAAGGAAGTCATGGAATTCTGATTCCTCTGTTTCTTTTAACAGAATCAATATAAATTTCTATAGCATAAATCATCTCTGTCTTCTCCCTTACTGCCACCATTTACATTCAAATCCCCAAATTTTATCATTTATTTCTTTGGTATGTGAGATTTGATACCTTATTTCTATTCCTGATGCCAGCCACCTAGTTTGGATCTTTTTCACCTCATACTGTTAATATTCCAGAAGATAAAACATGTTACCACTGTCAAGAAAGTGTCTTTATTGTCCTAGAGTAATCTCACACTTCAATACAAATTTTTTGATTCTTATCTCAGAAGTCTTTTAAAAAACCTTAAGGATAAAGTCTACATAAATGTTTTCCAACCCAAATTATGCTGAGAGTCAGGAAATACTTTTTCTAAAATGGATCTCAACAGCCATTAGAAACAGAATCCTATATTGCTGAAGGAGTTAGTAAGGACGTTGGCTTGAAGTAGTAACATTTGCCTGGTCAGTCTGTAGGGAGCGTTCAAAGATCTTCAAAATAAACTGAATTCAACGGACATTTACACAGCATTTACAGTCCTGTGCACAGGACACTTATTCTCTTACAAAAATGCATCTAACATTTTCCTGCCTTATTTGTTACCTCTCCACCTGAAAGATCTCCATCTTTCTTCTCCACCCATTTAACCCACATCCTGAAGACTTCAATGTTGCAAATTATAACTATTATACAAAGTTTCTTCTTACTGCTGTCTCTCTAAAGTGCTATCTGGCACTTTTCTGCCCCTGACAGCAGTTATAATGCACATATTTGATTGACTTCACATTCTACTTCTGTTGTTCATTAACCATTATGTACTGTCTATCTTCATGACAGACTACCATCTTCTCAGGGATAAGACCCAAATAGCTTATCTCTGAATTTTCCAAAAAGTCATTGGACCTTCCATAAATAAGTCCCTCAATATATAATAAGTAACTGATACTAAATTATTTGGTGAATAATTCACTAAAAATTGTATTCCCTATTTTATAACTTAATTGTATATTAAAAGTCTATGGACTTATTTTTAAGGCTAAAGGTTAAATACATTTATAAATTAAAATAATTTTGTGCCACTGATAAAACATTGGTGTAGGTATTCAATAACATTTAACAAGTATTTACTGAGCACCTTTCATGTGCCAGGAGTAGTAGACCCTGGGGACATGTTGATGAACAACAGATAAGGCCCTTCTTTCAAGGTGTTTACACTCTGGTAGTAGAGGTAGAAAATAAAACAATAAACAAATAAACAGTAAAAATATAGTACAAATGTTAAGCAGAGACTTTAAATAGTGATTGTGTGATCACAGATGGCTTTACTCCATGGGTCCTCCTATCACGCACCATTGTATGTGATGCAGTATCAGCTATTTCCTTAGACCCTAACAAATTCTACCTGGTAGATTTTATAGAAGTAGAAACTAGATCATTCAAACAGATTTTTTAGTGGCATACAATTTTTTTGAAGACACTATGTTTTAGCTATTGTGGTAAATAAGTTTTGTGCAAGCATTTCTACTTTGGAAAATATTACATCTAAGATAAAAAGACTTGTATAATCCAATATGTTACAACAACAAAAGACATGTCATATTGAGTAAAAAACATACAAACAATGAAGGAACAATATTTCTGGTGACTGATTTTTTTTTTCTATAGCAAAGAAGTTTGTGTGTAGAAGTGTTAATAACTTATGACATTTTCCTTTAAAGTTACACAGAAACAAAAAACTGAGTACCACATGCTCTCACTCATAAGAAGACCCTGAACATTTACTGTAATACTGTAAGAAAGGGAAACTGCCAGGGTTGGGAATAGGGACACATAACATCAATAAGGGTAACTGATCTCAAATCAGGCAAAGTGGGAACCAAAGGGAGGTCCAAACTTTACCTGTACAATAACCACCTGTGTACCCAATCCGAATTATACCCATCTTTAAAATTAAAAAAAAAGCAAAAAAAGTTTACATAGTTGCCAGTGCTATTAATTGCAGAATTCGGAAAATTCATATCAAAATGTAAATTTTCTGACATACTTTAGAAGGAAAATAAAGGGTCCAAGCTTAGCATCATACTAAAATATATTTATGTATGTATTTATTTATGTATAATTTACATTAGCATGTATATTTAAAAGGTACAGGAAGAGAATGCTTTAATTTAAAATGTTACATCTTACTTACTCTCGAAGGTTTCAGGACTATAAATTCATGACTAAGAAGGAAATACTTTCTAGCTTTCCGAAAGTATACTATATACTATTCCTGCAAATAATACAATTGCTTAAATAGTTCCTCAGAAAAAGTTTTCTCTCCATAGATGGCAATTTTACAACTTTAATTTAAATGGTTTAATATTAAATTATTTGTATAGTTTAAGTAAACCTTGAATCTTGAAACGGTTAAAAGATTGATTTACCTTTTTCCTTTAATAACAGAAACTGTATAAAGAATATGCTTTTGTTCTATTAGAAACCACATCATCAATTTTCTATGATATCTGGAAAAAAAGTTAAACATGAACTAATATCTTAATTAGCAATCTAGCATTACCAGCGAGTATAACACAGCAGAAGGGAGCTAGGACAGTACATGTCCTTCAGGACTAATCAGCATCTGGAATACATTTGTGAAACGTACATTTGCCGAGTGACCAGAAGGTGGCGCTTCACAGCTGCACATAAATGCATTAGCCAAGGTGGCGCTTCACAGCTGCACTCAAGTGCATTAGCCCAGCAAACCAAATGGTGGAAAGAAATGAAGAAATAAACCGGGCTCGGTGGCTCAGCCTGTAATCCCGCGCCTTTGGGAAGCTGAGGTGAGTGGATTGCCTGAGCCCGCGGGTTCGAGACCCACCTGGGCAGTGAGACCTCATCTCTACAATAAATCAAAAAGTCAGCCGGGCGTGGTAGCGCGCGCCTGTAGTTCCGGCTACTCGGAAGGCTGAGGTGGAAGGATCGCCGGAGCCCAGCAGGTCTAGGCTGCGGTGGCCGCGGAGTGGCCACTGCACTCCACCCTGCACTCCAGTCCGGGCGACAGAGTGAGACTCCAACTCAAAAAAAAAAAAAAAAAGAAATGAATTTCCCTCCTCAACATTTTGCGTTTTTTTGTCAAAAAAATTAGTCATTTTACAGGAAATCAGAAATATGCTCCGATGAAAAAAGTAATGAAAACATTTTACTATAAAGAGTAAAAAAAAAATTGACAATTCTGACAGTCTTTTAAAACTTAAATTGTATAACTTAATATTTCCAGCTCACAGTATTACAAATATAAAGTGGTTTTGATAAGTAAGCACTACTATAAAAGAACAAAAAAGATGAAAAGAATATAATTTCTATAAGATATAAAATCAGCAAAACATTTTAAATATTTCACAAGTCAGCCTACTTTCTCTTTATTGTTTTAGCACATATCATCAATATCTCTTGATGTGTTTAAAAGAAATATACAGATTATATAAAGCATGTAGTTCTAAAAAAGAATATAGTAAAACTATTATGAAGTTTCATTGTATCATGCACTTATTGATCTGCAGATTATATGCAACTGAAAATGATGTTACTTACGATATTTTTACTGAAAACCTCAGCTACTTTCCCCCTGAGATCCTAAGGAGGACAGTGTTCAACTGCAGACACACAACTGCAATATTTCTTTAGAATGCTAGCTTGCAGTGGAAACTTTACAGGTGACAGACACTAAAGTTTTTGTAAAATTGTGTTTAACTTTGTCCTTTTAAAGTTAATACTGCATTAATATGTGTGGAGAGGTCATTTTTATCCTTGGCAGTGTATTTTCTCTAGAAATGAACTGTTCCTAGGATTTTTTTCTGGACAGAAAATTTTAAAAAGCCTTTTGTCAAGTAAGACGTTATTATTTCCAGCCTCAATGAAAAGTTTGTAACTTTATGTCTTCATTTGGGCAAATACTAATGAATTCTTCCCTATACTTAAAATTGGAGCAGAGATTAATTCTATTAGGGATTCTCATGGTTACGCAATTGATATGGGGTTCCACAGCAACTCACAGGGTCATAGACCTATGCTGTAAAATATACCTGTAAAAATTGGCCTTAAACTATGCAGCTTTTAAAGTCTTTTTTAGTTGTAAAA